TTGCTCCACTACTAAAACAACAAAACAGAACAAAAAGACATATCAAAAGAAAAGGGTTAGAACTTCTATGAAATTCTTTCCCAACTCAATCCCATCCTGACAAAACACTGAACACAAATACTGTGTTCAACAGTTATTTGAATTGGTTCTATCATTTTTTTTTCTTTGCTATAACTATGGTATTCATTTGAAATACAACTAGATTCATTTGCTTCAGTATGCTTGCAGTTTTAGGTTTATTTTCCCCTTTCCATCTTAATTTTTAATATATTTTTTGAATGAGTAGAATACTAATATGTACACAAAAGTAAATATTACATGAAAAGGTATTCTTAGAGAGGTGTCACTCTTTCCTGTACCCTAACATGCATGTCTACCCATGTTGTAGGTAATCAATTTCATGTTGTAGTTTATCCCTCCTTTGATTTCTTTTACAAAAATAAGTAAGTATATTTGTAATTTTCCTTGTTCATAAAAGATACAGAAAGAAGTGACACCTCTCTAAGAATACCCTTTCAGGCCCGGTGCAGAGTCTTACAGCTGTAAATCTCAGCACTTTGGGAGGCTGAGGCAGGCAGATCACCTGAGGTAAGGAGTTGGAGACTAGCCTGACCAACATGACGAAACCACATCTCTAATAAAAATACAAAAGTTAGCTGGGCATGGTGGTGTGCACCTGTAATCCCAGCTACTCAGGAGGCCAAGGCAGGAGAATTGCTTGAACCAGGAGGTGAAGGTTGCAGTGAGCTGAGATCGTGCCCCTGCACTCCAGCCTGGGTGACAGAGCAGGAATCCAAAAAAAGAAGAATACCGTTTCATGCAATTTTTACTTCTTACTTCTAGGTACATGTTAATATTCTGCTTCTTTTCCAGGAGGAGCAATTTGTCTGATGATGTTCATTATCCAATTCCTTTAGCAGTTGCTTATTGTTAAATGTTTAGGTTCTGGAGTTGTGTTTTTACTGGGGGATGTCCTCTGTCAGAGTTTTATTCCATCATTTCTTAGAGACTAGAAGTTCTACGACAGTATAGATTTAACTGGCATTTCTTTTATTATGAGAGAAAGAGATTGAGTATCTTCCTTTGTTTAAGTAACATTTTTATAGCTTTTTTTGTGCATTATCTGTTCAGGTTTTTTGCCTATTTATCTATATAATTTTAATTTCTCTTCAACTATTAAAACTTCTAATTGGTTATTTGTGTATTTGCATGCAATTTAGTTTTGCATATTAATTTTATATCTTGCTTATCAACTTACCGATTTACTTTTATCTCTCTAGGGTACGCCAGATTACTACTATATCATCTGCAAAAAGAAATAGTTTTATCTTTTCTTCTCCAAGTCACATGCCTCTAATTTTATTTCTGGTCTAACTATATCTTTTTTTGTGTTATTTTTATTAAGTTTATACATCAACACTATACTTGCTTCATGAAAATAATTTGAAAATTTTCTTTCATTTTTTACACTCTGAAGCAATTTATATAGTTTTGAGACTAACTGTTGAAGATTTGGTCAAATTTCTCCATAAAACCATCTTGTCTGGTCTTTTTTTTTTTTTTTTTTTTTGAGACGGAGTTTCGCTCTTGTTATCCAGGCTGGAGTGCAATGGCGCGATCTCGGCTCACCGCGCTCACAGCAACCTCCGCCTCCTGGGTTCAAGCAATTCTCCTGCATCAGCCTCCCGAGTAGCTGGGATTACAGGCACACGCCACCATGCCCAGCTAATTTTTTGTATTTTTAGTAGAGACGGGGTTTCACCATGTTGACCGGGATGGTCTCTATCTCTCGACCTCGTGATCCACCCGTCTCGGCCTCCCAAAGTGCTGGGATTACAGGCTTGAGCCACCGCGCCCGGCCTTGTCTGGCCTTTTTATCTAGCATAGATTCTTGATAACTTACTTTCTCTCTTCTACAGAGAACGGCCTTTTAGACTTTCTATCTTTACTCTGGTCAGTTTCGGCAAACTATATTTCTTGAAAAACTTTTTTAAAAATAGGTGAGTTGATCTTAATCATGTAAATTAAGATAACCGTTATGTTTGGTCGCTCTATCAAATTGTCTTATGATGAAATTATGGTGTGTATTTACTGCATTTTTATTTATTTTGTGTATCCTTTTTACTTAAACAATTCTTTTTGGCATTTATAAAGGTTTGGATTTTCATTCTCTGGGTTACCTTTGCATTATTACTTTTTAAGTGTTTGCTATTTCCTCTATTTTTTTTTACCTGGTATCAGTTTTACGCAATATTTGTTGATGGTTACTCTTTGCTTATGTAACAAAATGATGTATTCTGTTTTCTTCTTTTTTCTTTTTCTCCCATTAAAATTCTTTTCATCTTTTGACTTTTGTTCACACATGTAATATTGACATATTATTCTTTCATCCATGCACTGACTTATTTTAGTCTCACCTGTGCAATAAAATAAATTAAGTTCTCACTGTTTGGAAACATTTTCCAAAGTTATTTCAGTCATTTTTTAGTTGGATAAAACTCATCCTATGTGAGGGTTTTCAGGAATACCACGTGTGTAGTATTCCCTTAGTACTGGTATAGTCCAAACTGTTTTCTATGGCCTTGATATTTTAAAGTTAGGTTGGCTGTATACAACATTTTTGTATACTTTCTTTCTTTCCTTTAGTGTCTTGAAAATGTTGTTCCACTATTGCCTTACTTTGCATGTTGTTTTGAGAAACCTGATGCTAGTCTAATTCTATTGCCTTCGTAAGTTACTTGATCTTTTTTACTTGGAAGCACTGTGCATTTTCCCCCCTCTATCCTTAAAGTCTAATAATTTTACTAGAATGTATTCTAGAGCTAATCTTTCCGGTCAGATTTCCCCTGTACCTGATATTAGATTCAGGTCTTACTTTAATTCTAGAAAGTTTTCTTGGATTATAGTTCTAAGGATTAGTGCCGTTCAATTATTTTTATTGGCTTTTACATCTTGATTTCATTTTCACTTTACTAGTTGTTTATCTTGTTTTCTTCATTGTCTTTTCACTTGATTATATTCTTCTTGGGGCAATTTGTAATTTAGTTTTCCTTACTGATACGATTTTGTCTCTTCCTTCTTTCCTAAGTTTTATCAACTCTCATTTCACTTTTTCCTGAGTTGTTGTTGTTATTTTGGTCAATATCTACTATTATTATTTTTTAAGTTTCGGATTTGAAGTGTCTTTTTCTTAGCCCCAAATGCTTATTTGAGGATATCCCCTTGAGCGTGGAGTGTAACGTTATAGTTTTCTCAAGCTTTGTGGTTAAATTGTTTGGGAAACTTTTCATTAGGAGGAAAGCTTTCATAGATACCATCTAATTTTTTTCAGTTGTTTTATAATGATGGAGACAGACTTTTTGTTCTAATCTTTTTTATTTCATAGAAAGAGTTCTTAGTTCAAGAGCACCCTCTTCTGTGCAGTTTCTTTTATGGATCTTATTGTTGATGGTGATAGGGTAGGGTGGGTAGATGAGTAAGTTGTGTTCCGATTTCATTTCTGTAAGATCTTTAATTTTCTCCTATTTCCTTCTTTCCCGTCATTGCCTAGTCTCCAAGGAATTCTATCCATTCTCTATTTATCTGATTCTTCCCCAGAAGCAATGGTTCTTCAAGGCTGCCATTTCTGATTGCATCCATACCTTGAAATCTTTTTATTTTTATTTTTATTTTGTAGCTAGTACTAAGAACCACCAAGTGCTAACCTATGTTTAGTATTCTAGCATTTATTGTTACACTTTCTCTTTCTGGGGGTGATTTTGTTTGTTCTTCATCTAATTCATTGTTTCTCTCTATTTCAGAGTCTTTCAAGCCTTGCCTTCTCTGTTCTCTCTATCCCAGGTTTCAGTACAGGCAAGCTGCAGGAGTTTTGTTGGAATTACTACTTTGCTTACTTTATTTATATGTACTTTAAAGACTGTGGTGTGTTCTGTCACAGTCATATTGAAAACATGAGTCCTATATGGTTCTATTTGATTTCTTTGTTGATTTTTATGTTTTCTAGGGGGAGCATGTGAGGGAGATTCAAAGTCAGGTGATCACTGCTGATCTCTAACAATGTTCTCCTGTTTATATTTTATTTGTCATTTGGGTTTTCATTTTATGATATTGTCACATATTTGTTTTATAGTAAGCTATTTCAAATTCTTTGAACAATAATGCAAAGTGAAATAAATATTTGCTTTTTATTACTAACAAATAAATGTTAAAAATACTCTTGCCTTAAAGGCTTATTTATTTATTACACTTTAAGTTCTGGGGTACATGTGCTGATTGTGCAGGTTTGTTACATAGGTATACATGTGCTATGGTAGCGGTATGCTGCATCCATCACCCTGTCATCTACATTAGGTATTTCTCCTAATGCTATCCCTCCCCAATCCCTCCACCCCCTGCTATTCCTCCCCTAGACACATGCACACGTATGTTTATCGTAGCATTGTTCACAATAGCAAAGACTTGGGACTAACCCAAATGCACATAAATGATAGACTGGATAAACAAAATGTGGCACATATACACCATGGAATACTATGCAGCCATAAAAGAAGATTAGTTCATGTCCTTTGCAGGGACATGGATGAAACTGGAAACCATCATTCTCAGCAAACTGATAGAAGAACTTCAAGACTTTTTGTTCTTTAGTAAAATAAAGTACAAGTAACAAAGAAAAAAGAAAAGGAAAAGAGGGGAAATGAAAAAAAAGAGAAAAATAATAGAAAAGTAAGGAGATTGGTTATTTTGGCCTCTGGATATCTTGTTTTCAAAACAATTTCAAAGAGGTTTTAACATTTTTTTGAGCAATAGTAGGAAGACGTTAGCACAGGTATAGCCTCCAAAAGTGATTGCTTTTAAGATCTATGCTATTTTGTATTATATAATTTGTATCAGGAAGCTCTGGGATATTATAAAGAATCACTGCTTTATAATTTTACCTCATATTCACACATATACACACCTACACTCACACGAGCACACATTTACACAATACATATACTTACTTGTTTCACATTATAGAGCTCCTCTGTCAATTGTTTCCTTTGCTTATCTGATTGCAATAATTTTTCCTATATTGAAAAACCATCAAATTAACAACTTGTTATGAAAGTATCAACAAGTATGACTTTTCAGTCCCTTTTTTCAAAGCTTATATTCCCCAAATATTAAATTGGTACAATCTGAGAATGTTGCTCCTAGCCATTTTTCAGGCTTTACATGGGGCATTTAAAAGTAATTATTTACAGTACATTGTGATATAAATATACTTTTTTATTACCTTAATTTTGCAAAATGTCAAAAGATAAGCTTAAACAGAAACCAGTTAAGAATACAAGGCCGGGCATGGTGGCTCACGTCTTTAATCCCAGCACTTTGGGAAGCAGAGGCGGGAGGATCACCTGAGGTAGGGAATTTGAGACCAGCCTGACTAAAATGGAGAACCCTCATCTCTACTAAAAATACAAAATTAGCTGGATGTGGTGGCAAATGCCTGTAATCCCAGTTACTTGGGAGGCTGAGACATGAGAATCCCTTGAACCTGGGAGGCGGAGATTGCAGTGAACCGAGATTACGCCATTGCACTCCAGCCTGGGCAACAAGAGTGAAACTCTGTCTCAAAAAAAAGAATACAAGTGTGTAAATATTAACTGAATTTTGGTTAAGCTATCATTGCCAAAGAGATACCAAATTGAAGAGCATAATTATTACAAATTAGAATTAAAGGTCTTTGACCATACTAAAGAGGGCATATGATGAGGCTGGCTCACCTCTCAGTTTTGTAATTTAATTTTAGCTTATTCTTGGAATAAAATTAAATTATAAATGAAATTTAAATTATGAAACCAAGGTAATTTTATTAAGTTATCTTATACATGAAAAGGAAGATATGACTCATGTAACCAAAATATAAATAATAGTTATGAAGATTAATATGATGCATATAAAAATATCCTTGGATTTGAAATTAAGTCAAGCATTGTAATGTCCAATTTTGTTAAGTATATCTTAAATAAATCCACATTTTGTTGGTCAAAATAGAAATACTAAGAGTGATTTAAGAGGCATTAAATATAAACCTGAACAGAGGAACTGCTAGAACATTAAACTGAGTGGTAAAGATTCATAGCAATATTGCAATGTTTACAAGAGGCAATATCCTTTCTGGTATATTTCAGTTTATTCTTGTCTAAGAGGTGAAATGAAGGTATATGAAGATGAATATAATATAGCAATTTAATGAATATGCCACAGACCAGGAGCCAAGAGACGGCTGACTCCTGTGATTTAATGTCCTGGCAAGTCACCTTCACTCTTTGTGCCCTAGTTTTTTTGTATCTGTTAATGGAAAATATATCCATTTTCCATTCACCTTTGCAAAGCAGTAGCAATGTGAATGTTGCAGAAAGGCTTCCTTAAATAAAGCCCACAGCACTTTTAAAAATCATTCTTGCAAAATAAAAAGATATAAAATTATCTTAGTTTCACTTTTTTTGTACTTCATATCAGACATGAAAAATAAGACATGTTACAGGATAATAAAAAGTGATGAGACACCGTTTACATACTTTATGAATGTCATTTAACAACCTCTGCTTTTTTTGTGACTATATAATACAAGCAGAAAAACTGAAAATAAAAACATTACCTTGAACAAAAATATTTATTGCTTTTATACTACACTTTATATAGCTTCTTTAATTGGTCAGCCTATACATAGGTTTGGAGGTAAAGGTATTATAAAATGTAAAATCTGTTTTATCTGGAATTTTTGTACTATATTCTAACTAACTGAGCTAGATGGTTGCTGGCTTATCTGGGAGTTTAGGTTTTGTCATAGTAGGGTATATTCAGTTACATTTCATGAACTTCAAATGTGAATCCTGATTTATTGAATGACTCCTCAGGGAAGTCTTGTTTAAATGTTAAATTAATATGGCATATATACACTCAAATTAACACTCTAATTATTACTATTGATATTTAAAATAAAACTGAAATATGTCACTAAATTTAACAATGATAAACTATAAGGAAATGAAAAAGATCTGAGAGCATCTGAACATTCTGATAAACCACAAGTCTAATGGTTTAGGTAGAAATAAGATAATACATAAAAAAGTTATCTTCTTAAAATAACCAACATTGGGAAAGTTTCCTAAAAGAATATAAAGAAACCATTGTCAATGTATTTTTAAAACTAAATGTATAGTTTCCATCTAAGCACTTAATTGTTGCACTAAAAAATGTGGAAAGATAGTGGTTTCAAAGGTAAAAAAAGAAATATATGGAATACTCTTATAGTAGTGAAATGCTCATATATTTTAGGAAGGAATGCGAATTGGTGAAACCTTTTGAAAGGGAATTTGGTAACATATACAAAATTTTAAGTGTCTATATATACTAATAAAGCAGTTCCATTTTCAGACATTTATTCCATGTATATACTTGTACAAATGCCCAAACATACATCTACAAAGCTGTTGAAGATAAAATTATTTTTAAAAACTACAAATAGTCTAATGTTCATCAGTAGGTAACTGGCTAAATGACCATTTGATGTATAGGAGAGTTATCCGGAAGAATTTGATAGATCTGTGCATACTAACCTGAAAAGCTGCCGGAGATAGAATTCTTATAAAGAGAGAGAGAGAAAAAAGAAGGCACATTGTAAAAAAAAAAGTGTGGCTGGATGAGGTGATTTATGTAGAAGTGAAAATACACACATACTGAAAAAAAATGTTTTAAGACTTTATTATTTTTTGGAGCAATTTTGGGTTGAGAAGAAAGTACAGAAATTTCTCAAATACTCCCTGCCCCCAGATATACATATATTTACTTATTTATTTTTGTTTTTATTTTTTAAATAGTAGAGATGGGGTCCTGCTATGTTGCCCAGGCTGATGTTAAACTCCGGAGCTCAAGTAATCTTCTTGCCTCAGCGTCCCAAAGTGCTGAGATTACACATGTGAGCCACCATGCCTTGTCTATTTTAAAAAATTAATTTTCCATGTAGGAAAAAAGCTATGAAAAGATAAATAATATTATTTGCAATAATGGCTTCCTTTAGAGGTTGGAATTGTAAAAACGAAGGTAGCAAAAAATTTTTCTTTCTTTCTGGTGTAAAGATTTTCTATTTAATAAATATTATATAATTATCAATATAATATACTTTATTTAATAAAATAATTTTAAAAATACATTCCTATGGTGAATTCGTGGTAAATCAAGTAGATATGTCGCTTTTCCTGAAGATCTGGAAAATATAGCTTTCTGTAAAAATTAGGATATAATTTAAATGTAATATTCTTCTAAAAACAGAATGAAACCATTTAAAGAGAATCAAGGCCAGACAAGGTGGCTTACACCCATAATCCTAGCACTTTGAGAGGCTGAGGCAGGAGGGTCATTTGAGCCCAGGTATTTGAGACCAACCTGAAAACATACTAAGACTCCATCCCTACAAAAAAAAAAAAAAAAAAAAAATTAGCTGGGCAAGCTATTTGGGAGGTTGAGGTGGGAGCTTGAACCCAGGAGGTTGAAGCTACAGTGAGATGTGATTGCAGCACTGCACTCCAGACTGGATGACAGAGTGAGACCCTGTCTCAAAATCAAAAAACAAAAACAAGAATAAGAAAATGAACCAAACAAAAAAAGATAAGTAAAATGTTATAATATATTTGGGATATATATTTTTTTTCTTCTCTTAAATAATATTGTCTTAATTCCAAATTACATTAGCAAAACATGATGTCCCTTAAGAATGGGCCTGCATGTGAAAAAAAAAAAGTATTTCCCAAAGAACTCAGAGGATCCAAAATTGTCATGACTTGCTTTATCGGTTCTTCATCTAATTCTGCTGTGGCCACCAATGAGAGAGAATAAAAAAGCTAAGAAGGAACCTTAACAGAAGACATGAGCAGAAACCATTGTTCACACTAAATGTCATACAGATATTGTGAAATACAAACATGTAGACCAAAAACTAATTTCTCTCAAGGACAACTGAATAAAGAATCTGATTCTTACTATTTGACATTAATATTTTTCCATTAAAAATAAAATTAAGCCCCAATATTTCAGAATCCAGTATAGAATATTTTTCTTTTCCTTTTTTTCTGAAGGAAACATAAGGAAACTAAATTAGAGGTTACCTTAAGTGTATTCACTTCTTTCAAGGCATCATCCCTTTCATGCTTGAGCCTTTCCATTTCATCTGCTTCTAAAGAATCACAAGGAAGAAGCTGTCAACATTAAAATATAAGAGAAAAGTTGTGCATTAGATGCTAATTATGAGAGCTAATCCTAACTAGTCTTAGGCTTTGCATTCTAATAACAAAATTCAGTTTCTTACTCTGGAGTCATTTGATTAGATAAAAGAGAATATTAAAGTAACCTGGGGCAATTTAATTCATTTAGGCTTAAACTTACATTGTTGTTATTCAAAAATTTTGATTTTGTTGTTGCCTTTATCATTATTTCAACAGTATAATTTTCCTGAGAATTCCAAATTCCAAGACTGTGTTTATTGTCAAAAAGACTTCAGGAATTACCAACAAAAACTATTCTCTCACATTCATTCTAATAGCATAGTATCTAAGGCTACCAAAATGCTGTACATTATAAATCAGATGGTTTACATGAGCCTAGTAAAGTATATTTATCAATTATGTATCTGGTTATAACTTAATGAAATGTAACGCAACAGATACATGGCTCAAAAAGATTCCTGCACAGAAATTGTAGATTGAAGATAATATAATTATGAACAAGTGAATAACAAGAAAAATGCAGAGGTGACCATTTCTCTTACATCTAGCATGATCTCTTTGACAGTCAATTACAATGTAAAAAACAATGACAGTCTAATCAGAGATAAAATCCAAGTTTAACTATAGCCATCTCCAATGTGGAAGCTATAACAACTATAGAAAATATAATTTAAAGGATTAAGTGGAGAAATCAGTTGTTATTTAAGCACGGGCTTAGAACAGAGCCCTTTAGATAGGTGAGGCGAATGTGGAGTAGAAAAAAAAAATTAATTAATAATATCAATGACTTATTGGAAACTTATGTGCAGATGCATTGCTAAGGACTCTATATTTTCAGTATGAATCACCTTGTCTCCATTTTACAGATGAAGAAACAAGCTCAGAAAGGTTAATAACTTGCCTAAGGTTTCACAGCTAACAAATGGTCAATCCAAGAGTCCCACAAATCATAGTCTCTGATTTTTTCCTAATGATTCAACAAAAAACATGGTGGAATGGATATAATAAACTCATATTTGCTTTCCAAACTCTAGAATAACAGAAGTAGGAGTTATTCTTCACATTTGTGGAGAACTTATTTCTCTGAACATCACTGGTTCTTTTTGCTCTGTCACATTAGCTTTTGGGTATCTATGGACTTTGCCCATGATTTATATGATCTACATTCTTCATGTCTCTGCTACTCTGTTCTCTCAGAAGTACTCAACACACATACTCATAAGAATTCATTCCTGTATTGTTAGATTAATTTGGGACACATTTTAAAATGTAATAATATTTCCCAAGTGTGCACCAGAGGATATTAACGGGCTTTGTGTATGAGCAAAATTGAGTAGTGGTGATGGTGATAGTAGTATACGATTTTTAAAAAATTAACCTTATTTCCTGCATGGCTTCCAACAGCCTTAATATGCTAGTGAGTATTTGAATCTCCAAAAAAAAAAGTAAAAGAACTTGTCATGTTTCCTCAGTAATTTCACCATACTCTAAACCCCCAACCTCATCACCCTGCTGCCTTCATTTATTTATTTTTGTACTAGCTCATGGAACTAAAGTATACAAAGTACAATCTGGGAAACTCAATGTTGCTACTCAACATTCATATGGGCCTATTCTATCTTCTCATCCTAAGAAGTGAAATAAGGAGGACTTAAAAGTTTAAATAAGGCCGATGTAGTGACACAGGTCTATAATCCCAGTACTTTGGGAGGCCAAGGCTTGAGGATTGCTTGAGACCAGGAGGTTGAGATCAGCCTTGGCAACATAGTAAGACTTTGTCTCTAGAAAAAATAAAATTAGCCAGGCATGGCAGTGCATTCCTGTAGTTCCAGCTATTTGGGAAACTGAGGTGGGTGGGAGGTCAAGCCTGCAGTGAGCTGAGATTGCATCGCTGCAGTCAGCCAAGTATGCATTACTATATTCCAGCCTGGTGACAGGGTGAGACCATGTCTAAATAAAAAAAAAGAAAAAAAAGAAAAGAAAGTTTAAATAAAATTTTAGATACCAACTTAAAGTAATTTATTAAGAGAAATTATGGATTGGGATTTTAGGGATGTGATAATAAACTTTGGAGCTTAAGATCATGGAGATAAATCATGCATAAAAGATCCATGGTACTATTTTGAGAGGCAAAGCCTAGACTATCAGAACAAACCATGACTTAAAAAAAAAAAGTTTTATAAACACATTGCTATTTTGGACTATGCAGCAAAAACTTGTAGCCAGAGAATTGGCCATGATGTTCCCTGTGAATTCTTTGAAAAGCCCTTTTGTACGCTATGACTTTTTTATATAGTTCTATTCAAATCTACTTCATCTAAGAAAGCAGCAAATTAATTGTTGTTATTTCACAGTAACAATTCCAGACAGATCTCTGTTTCCAAAATCTACTGGTAACTACTGCAATTTACATTCCTTAACCTTCTATACCTGTTTCCTGTCTGGTTCTCGCAATATTATTTGTGATCTTTGGATCCCCTGAACTTTGCAACAGCAAGTAAGAAATATCGTAAATCATTTCTACTTGGCTTTCTAGAATCTTCTTTTGGAGATGTCAAGAAATACATACTATAGGTCACTGGACTGTGCTGATTAGATCTGACCTAATCAGACCTCTCCCTTCAAGATGCTGCTCCATCATATTTTAAGTTACTTGACTTGTATCAATTCTGGATAGCTATTATTCCACTGGCTACATTCCCTAATCTCAACTCATCTTAAACAGAAGCAGTTGCAAAACAGTAACTTCAGTGTCAGTCTAATTTTATTGATAAGGCCTTCTATTAGAGACCTATTCAATTACCCCCTTTCCTTATAAAATTGTGTGACTTTACCATCCTGTTCACCTCTATTCACCTAAAAATTTCTGGGTATCTTCTCCTTCCATTTCCCTGCTCATTCCTTTCACTTCTTATAATCTGGCTTATACCTCTTTCCTCTCATTCCTATATTTCTAAAATGATTACTTGCAATTTCACTAATAAAACTGCTACGTGGCCGGGCGCAGTGGCTCACGCCTGTAATCCCAGCACTTTGGGAGGCCGAGGCGGGTGGATCACAAGGTCAAGAGATCGAGACCATCCTGGTCAACATGGTGACACCCCGTCTCTACTTAAAATACAAAAAATTAGCTGGGCACAGTGGCGCGTGCCTGTAATCCCAGCTACTCGGGAGGCTGAGGCAAGAGAATTGCCTGAGCCCAGGTGGCGGAGGTTGCAGTGAGCCGAGATCACGCCATTGCACTCCAGCCTGGGTAACAAGAGCGAAACTCCGTTTCGAAAAAAAAAAAAACAAAAAAAACTGCTACTGACAAAGAAGATGTCCCCCTCCCCCATCTTCGTTGTTATATATAACATTGTTGAAGGCTTTTTTTTCCTTGAAATTTTATCTTCTTTAGATTGTGATATCCTAATATCTTACCTACCCTTCTGGACATTTAGGCTATTTCCAATGAGTTGGTTTCATCTCTACTCCTTAGAAGCAGAAAGGGGGGTTGAGAAGTTCCCCAAAGTCTTCTGTCTCTTTCCTCTTTTTCTCTACAAGTTCCAAATGATAACATTCACTATTATGCCTCAACTATCACTCTCAGAATATTCCCAAATTCCTTCCTTCTGTCCAGTTCCTAATTTCCAGTGGCCTTTGCTTATTTGTACTTGCCGGCTTTTTAAAAAACTTTTTTATCTTTTTATTTCTTTTCTTTTTCTTTTTCTTTTTTTTAAATGAGGTGGGTTTTCACCAGGATGGCCAGGCTGACCTCGAACTCGTGACCCAGGTGACCTGCCCACCTCGGCCTCCCAAAATGCTAGGATTGCTGGCATGAGTCACAGCGCCCAGCCCAGTCTCTCTGATTTCTTTTTTTTTTCTTTAGCAAGGAAAGAAGAAAAGAAAGAGAAAAAAAGGAGTGAAGGAGAGGAAGAAAGACAAAGAAAAAACGGGAGAGAGAACGGGAATATTGCTTTATTCTAAAAATGGGTATTAATAATGGCCGATCAATATTTTGTGTATTTAAAGTGGAGAATGTATATATTGTGTATTTAAAATGGAGAGCTCTATATATATTTATTAAGTTTACTTGTTTGGGATCTGAGTTCAAGTCCTGGTTGTCCTCATCAATTTTCTGTCTCATTGAGTCTAAATCTCTTCATGGGTCTTATGTATCTGGGTGTTAGGATCGTTAGCTCTTATTTTTGCATTGATCCTTTTACCACTATATCTTTGTTGCTTTGTAATCTATTTTATCAGATGCGAGAATTGCAACTCCTGCTTTTTATTTATTTATTTATTTATTTTTGCTCTCCATTTGTTTGGTAAGTCTTTCTCCATCCCTTTGAGTCTTTGTGTATCTTTGGTTGTGAAATGAGTCTGGATGCAGCATACCGTTAGGATTTGGCTGTATCTTTTGATTGGGGGATTTAGTTGACTTAAATTTAGGGTTATTGCCATTTGATGTTAACTGGCTATTTTATCCATTCGTGGATATAAATTCTTCTTTATGTTGATGCTCTTTACTTTTTGGTATATTTTTAGAAAGGCTAATACTGGTTGTTCCTTTCTATGTATAATGCTTCTTTCAGAAGCTCTTGCAAAGCAGGCCTGGTGGTAATAAAATCTCTGAGTACTTGCTTGTTCATAAAATATTTTATTTTTCCTTCAATTGTGAAGCTTAGTTTGGCAGGATATGAAATTCTGGGCTGAAAGTTCTTTTCTTTAAGGATGTTGAATATTGGCCCCTACTCTCTTCTGGCTTGTAGGATTTCTGCTGAGAGATCTGCTTTAAGTCTAATAGGCTTCCCTTTGTGGGTAACCTGATCTTTCTCTCTGGCTGCCCTTAGTATTTTCTCCTTCATTTCAACCCTGGTGAATCTGACGATTATGTGCCTTGGGGTTGCTCTTCTTGAGGAATATCTTTGTGGTGTTCTCTGTATTACCAGGGGTTGAACATTGTCCTGCTTTGCTAGATTGGGAAGGTTTTC